CTGCCCAGTCTTATTAGCCCATTAAGGTTGTTTCGGGCAGTCGTGTACTCATTTTTATTTCAAACTTATTTTTTTATACACAAATTTTAGGTATGGCTGCAAATAAAGTTGTTGTTGTTGCTAAGTCACGGTTTGTGCATTTTGAAAAGTTTAGCCTACATTTTTCAAGTTCGTCGTTTGTAATCCGTGTCAATCTTCTCCATCCTTGTTCCTTTATGGTTTAATATTATCTCTTAAGAGTTTTTCTATCTTGGTAAATTATTTTTTTCAGGTTTCGTTCAATTTAAATGTAATTTTGTACGTGGCCGAAAATTACTCAAAATGCTGTGGCTAAGCACCTTTAAAATTTAAGCTCATTTTTTAGCTGTCAGTCCCGGCAGACCCTCATTCCCTTTGTTGTTGAACATCAAAACCTACCAGTCTCTAACTCTTAACAATACTGGCATCAAAAAGTTTAATTAACATTTCCTTGATTAATTTTAAGAAATAATAAGATTTTACTGTGCCAGACCGTGAGGTATTCACTTGACTATCAATAAAGCTCGTCGAAGAAAACGTATTATAATTAATGCTTGTGATTATTTATATAGCGGTTCCCTGACGTGTTTAGAACTCACAGGATTTAATATGACATTGTTATAGTTTTTATTCATATACATGTTTTATTTAGAAAAGTAAAAAATTGAAATTGAAAGGTTTTGCAGTGCGCATTTACTTTTATTTTGACAGAACACACACTGTTTGCTTTCCATGACCCGGAGTGCGGTGCTACTAAGGCCCAGCGTTCTATTGCTACGCGGAAACCTTTATAATCAGTGAATGCCTGTTGCAAAGTGTAATTATTCAGAGTTTTATCAACCTAGCGTCAGCTTAAGAGTAACGTGGAACTTACCCTTTTGAGTTTAAACATGGTTGCCGAGTTCTGCAGTAAAAAACTACAGGAATTGATTGCCTTTGTTCAGTTCCAACCAGTCATAAGCTTATGTATTTGTGTGATGAATGTCCTGTTTTCGTTTGTGGCAACCATTGGAAACCTCCTTGTAATTCGTGCCTTGTGGAAAGCTTCGTCGATCACGGCAACATTAAAGAAGCTGTTCCTAAGCCTCGCTTT